ATTAGAGTATTAAAGTTCAGTACAGTTAGAAATGATAAAGAATTAAAGTGCGAACTGAGTGTAGAAAAATGTACTAGTAGCTTCTTGTGATCACTGTTAGCATATCTTTATGGTGATAATCTTTTTACATTCATTGTTTCAGCCAAGAAGTCTGACGATTATGATCAGTTACGGCCATGGCTAGGTAAGAAACCTAATCTCCAAGCAGATCTTTTGGTTTCGGTGGCTAATGGACACTCCTCTGGCCAATGGATACTGTCTTGCCACCAAAAGATCTGCTTGGAGATTAAGAAACCTCCGTGTTACACGTGCGTACTTTATCGGTGCCATGAAACCACTCTGTGCTATTAAACACCATGACACTTCAAGTGCGTCCTTTTGAAGTGCTTTTCAACTTCGAAAGTCCCTACCGATGGTAGCTTTTCCCAGTTGTGAACCTACAGTACAGTTTGCAGAGCATCTAGACAGAATATTACGGAAACAGCTCTTTCAAATCCCTGAGTAAAAGTACTGTATGTTTTGTGTGGTTGCCAGGTAACGGTCTGATCACGAGTACCGGTGACGTATGGAAGGTTCACCGCCGCCTCCTCACGCCTGCCTTCCACTTCGACATCCTGAAAAACTACGTCAGCGTCTACAACAGGGCGGCGGAACACATGATCGTGAGTGTGCTCTTATCTCTGGCAAGGAGCTTATTTTTTCATCAGTCTTTGTGTTCCTTTCGACAGGAAAAACCGTACAGAAAGTATGAAGGGATACCCGCGCTATCTTACCTGACTGACGCTACTCTAACCGCCACGTAACGTCTGACTCTGCGCCTTCGACTCTTTCGAAAATTCATCCTGTTGCTTTGATATTTTGTTTTACGGATTCCCCTTTCGTTCTGGTGAGAAGAGGCAAGTTAAATCATTACGGATATGACAGAATGCTACATCGGAGGAGGGTATACTTCTTTCAAGTTTAAAATTAATTTTTCTTCAAATAGTACCTTCGTCACTATTCTGTATGTTCAATTTTGTAGTTCCTGTCTTTATAATCTGCATGTAGGAAAAACTTTCGAAGTATACTGGGAAAGAGGACAGTTTCGAGATATTCCAACAGGCCAGTCTGTGTACGATGGAAGTCATCCTGCAGTGCGCCTTTTCAGGAGGAGAAATGTCGGAGCAGTGAGTATTTCTTGGGTCATAAAAAAAATCTACACATTTTTGGTTAGAATCTAAACCGACATTTTTACGGACGTGTAATGTACACATGAAGCGATAGTATCATAGTTACCTATAGCTCAGCCTAGTATAATACTTTACATCTTTAGCCTGGTATCCAGCCTTGTTAGCTTTAGTCCGCTACCCAAGATCCGCTCCCCGCCAACAAGACT